CTTGGACTGGAGCCATAGTAGTGGGGGTCATGAAAGTCAGGTATTTTGAAGATAGATCATACAGGTTTTGTTTTTTACAAATTGGATTTGGAATGTGAGAGAAGAGTCAGTGATTATTCCAAGGTTTTTGGCCTGTGCAACTGGAAGGATGGAATTGCCATTTACTGAGATGGGTAAGGCTGTGGGAGGAGCAAAGTTGGAGGAAAGATCAGGGGTTTGATTTGGATCTTAAGTTTTTAGGTGTCACACATTCAAATAGAGTTGTCAAATAATCAGTTAGCTAAAAAGTCTGGAATTCAGTGCAGAGGTCTGAACTGGAGATATGAAATTGGGAGTTGTCACTAGGTAGTCAATAAATTTAATCTTATATTAAGCCATGAAACTGGGTGAGATCACCATGGCAGTGAGTATAGATACAGCAGAGGTACAAGGATGAGTGCACAGTTTAAGGTTAGGGAAATTAGGAGAAAAGGTTGGGGATATTTATTCCCTCTATAACTCTACAATTCCTTTCCCTCCCTAAACTGCCTATTAAAGTAAATCCTAACAACCTTATTAGCAGGATTGAAAAGGAATTCCCACAGAGTTACATGTGGTCCTAGCAAGACTGCCCTTTCCTGTCTTATAAAACTCTTCATCAACACTACAAACCACCTAAGAGAACAGTTCAGGAAGAAGGCTACAATTTAAATTGATTATACACCTTCCTTTATTCGACGATTGGGACTATTCCATCATACCTTACAACCCTATTTCCCTCTGTCTCTACATTCAAGGCTCTTAATTCCCTGCATTAGTTCATTATTAGATTTAGCTGTTGATGACAGTAACTTAAACATGATAAAACTTTATTTTCTATCACTTAAAAGGCTAAATAGGACTGATAGGACTCTTTACAAGGTCAAGAATCTTGGTTCCTTCTGTCTTGTTGCTGCTATATATACGGTCTTGATGGCATGGCAGGGAGAGGGTTACTCTTAAATTCCAAGTTTTTATTTGCCAATAATGCTGATTTATATAACTTTTATAAGAGGTAGTAGTGTGGATTTTATAAGAGGTAACTCATTTACTTTTCATATTACCACTGTGGGTAACCAATACTGTTGGGTAGAGTTATCTACCCCCCTCAAGATATAAGTTCCAGATTGGGCCACGAGGTTGATGGTGTTGTAATATCCCCATTGGGTTTAAGAATTGTTAATGTCCTATGTGGCTACACCCAGTTTCAAGGGCAGTTGAGAAATGTAATCTTTATTCTGGATGGCCAGGTATGCAGCAAAAATTCAGATTCTTCTACCACAGAAGTAGGGATGAATGAAAGAGAACAGCTGGCTGTTTTTACCATCTCCCACCATCTGTCCCAAACTCTTAGCTCTTCACCATTTAAATCCTACTACTCTACCTTTTGGAACTCACAGTATGTCATTGGCCAAATCTGTGTTCTCAACCTTTACTCTAAAACTTCATAGTTTTCCCCTTTAACTTCACAGTCTAACTTAAATCTGGTTGTTTCCTAAGGAATCTGCTTTCCTCTTGGCTGTTTCAAATGGAGGTTGTTTTGCCTTCCAGACTCCCATGTGTCAGAGGGCCTTGTTTCTCATTAGTGTTTCTGCACAACTGACTGTCTTCCCCTTTCCTCTCTACAATCCCTTAGTCCCTTTGAGATAAGTCTTGTGAGATCAAACCGTTATCTACTCTGCCTTTTTGTAGTCATCTACAGATCTCTTCTTTTTTCCTCATTCAGTGAATAGTATTTTAGCACCTGGGTAACTGTGTCTATCTCCACCACTATTCTTGTCATTATTCTCAGTGATTTAACATCCTGAAATCAATTCTTCCATCCCCTGGCCTCTCAGTTACCTTGACCTTGGCCAACCACTTTGACAGGCTTAACCTACTTCATCCTTACCAATATCTATACTCTCCCCCAAAATCTGTTTTAAGCATCTCATTGTATATCTCCACTTGTCTTTCTCTAGTTTAATTCCTCTAGAAGCTTAATGCTGACAATTCTTCAGGCTTCAGTAGGACTTCTAGGCCATTGAAGCTACTACCTTTTCAAGTTCTGCTGGGTAGTCTCATCCCATGGCTTTGAACATGATCTTTGTGCTGATAACCCTCAAACTGACATCTCAATGATATCACCAGCTCTGACCTCTTGCTTGACTCCAGACTCGTATATCCAATTTCTCCTTGAATTCTTCATTCGGATATCTAATAGGCACCTTAAACTTAGCATACCCCAAACAGAGTTTTTATATCATCCCTTTCAACCTGTTCTTCCCTTAGTTTTCTTCATTTCAGTAAATGGCAACTCTTTTGTACCTGTTGAAACTTTAGAGTCATTTTTGACTCCTCTTTCTCTTAAACTGAATTCATCAACAAATCCTGTGGAATCTTCTTTCAAAATATATTCAGAATATGACTACTTCATATTATTTGCACCACTACTGCCTTCCTCATGAATCCACTTTCATTTCTCTTCTGGATCATTGAAATCCTAACTGGCCTCCCTGCTTCCAGTGTTGCTCATGTTTGCTTTTTTTTGGTCATACCATCCATAGTGTCATCCATAGTGACACTTTAAAAAATATAAGTCAGATATTATCACTCTACTGGCTTCTCTGTTCATTTAGAAGAAAAAAAATGAAGCTTTTATTGTGGTTTTCCCACCTCTATGTGATCTGTGTCCCTCCCTCCTCTTCCCCAATTTCCTGCCATCCCCTTCACTCACTCTGTATTGGCCATACTGGCCTTCATGATCTGACTTAGCATTAATGATTTAAAAGCATAACTAGCTACTGTATTTAGAAGAGTTTGAAGGGTAAATGTAGGAACAGGAAGATCAGTTCTGGACCTACTGAAATAATTGAGGATGATGGTGGCTTTAGACTTATGATGGCAGTACTGAGAAGTGGCCAGATTTGGAGTATATTTTGGTAGTTTGGTGATCGGATTTCCTGGGCATATTTTTTCCTCTTAAGTGCCATGAATGTTAACCCACGCTGGACCAAAGACAGCTTATAAATGATTTTTAGTAGCAAAGGCATAGTTGCTCCTGTCTTCTGCCTATATAAAGTTGCAAAATAGATTTTTCAATGCTCTAGAAATTTTCTTTTATTCCCCCTCCCACCCCACCTACCACTGACTAGTCAGATCCTTGGTGACCAAGGCTTTTGGGCAGATAAAAACACCTCAGTGCATCCCCAGGCAGCTCTGCACTTCCCTGAATTGGCTGTGCTCTAATACTACTTCTCCTTTATTCCTCTATTCAGTCTCACATCAGAATGCCCATATCCTTTATGCAGATGACCTCAGCTAAATAGGATGGATGGGGAAGAGCTTTCTGAGCAAAAGAGAATCTTCCCAATGTTCGGATGCCAGCCTCCTCTTTCTCTGATTCCTTGGCACCACGTTTCTGAATAGTTGCAGATTACTTTCTCATGAAAAACATACTGCATTTACTACTTATATGGGATAATGATTTCTTTTGGTGAGGAATGATTCCTAATTATTATGGATTTCAGCACTTTGAGGTATTTTGATATAGGCTACATCATGCCTTTAAAGTTTCTGAATGTAGTTGTATATTCAGACTATATATATATTTTTTCTTGTCTATTATGTTGTTTCTTATTTCCAGAATCAACAAGTTATCTGCCTTTATTCTTTTAAAATCCTTATAAGCTGGGTGAATTTGAATTATTGTGAAAAAGCAGCATGTATTTACATTTTTCCCCCCTCTAATTGAAGGAGGTCTGATAGAAAGAAGGAAGTAGTTTTGAGAAAGGTGCTAAAACTCCTAAGGACGAAAAGTGAACCTTAGAAGTGTGCCTAGGAGAAATTGTTTTCTTGCTCTGGACGCTATACACAGATTCATACTTTTAAAGTTGAACATAAATCTGTTAAATGAACTGGAAGAGAGAGGTTTCTGACCTTAGCTGCATATTGACTGGATAGAAAACTTCAGATTTTTTTCTGTGGTCTTAACAATTTTCTCCCCATTCTCACAAATTTATGAGTACAATAAGTGAAAAAGGTGCTTTGAGATAAAGCTGTATTTAGCACCTTGCCAATCTAAAAGTCTTCTGGATTTGAGAGAATGAGAAATTATCTAAGGTAGGCCCACTGAATTCTTATCTATAATTCACACCTTCTTTGATGTAGTTAGCAGTAATTTTCTACTTGGTGAAGAGCATTTTTTTCCTTTAATTACACTTTCATTTATTTTTTTCTCTAGGCTAGTGATATTACTCAGAAAGAATCCCACAACTATAAATTGGATTCCGACAATTTAGCATTTTCTTGATTTGTATCTTTTGATAGCATGATTATTTGAGAGTGTGTTACTCTTGTTTTTCTAAATTTTTGTTTGCTATTTACATTGTGATTTTTATATAGCTTTTATAATAGATTTATTACCTCTCTTTTAAATAACTCGCTTATTTTTCACTTTGCCACCATGGCAACCATAACTGTTGGGCAGTGTATCTACATCCAACAGAATGTAAATCTCAGATTGGATCACTAGGTTGATGATGTCATAGTATTCCCATGTGGGTTCTATAACTAAAGCTCAAAATATGTATCTTAGCCCTCGATCAGACCTTTGGAATTTATTTTATTGTGTATCCATTCAACAGGACCAACATTGATCTGCCATTGAACAGTTCCCAGTTTAAAAAATCTTTTGATTAGGTCTCAGGGCAGCCCTTGGAAATTATTTACCTGGCCAGATTTAGTGGCGTTCTGTACATGTAGGACTGTTTTAGGCAGGTTGTAGAGGACTTCCGGCATCCAACCCAAGGCCTCCATCACTCACTTGCCAGAATTAGCACACTGACTAGTTTTCTTCCTCTTTCCATGTATTTGTTGCCAGCAGGATTGAAAGTGTTTTGGTGTCCTTGGGGTGCTAAGATGTTTTGTTTACTTTTAATTTTTTGTGTATATATGTTTGTTTTTAATGCAGATTCTATATTTTCCCCCTTTTATTTTTACAGTGAGTACAATCAAGTGGCATTTTAAAATTTTGCTGGAAGGTGGAGACATGAGACTGAAGATATCTCTTTTAAAAGAACCAAAGCATATCCTTTTAATACTTATAAACCTTATTGTGATCACCTTACTATAGTATTATTAAAAGTTTTCTTCTATTTTTGTAGTCTAGTTGGATAATGGATTTTTTTCATTCCTTTATTGGTAGTTTCGCTAAATTGTTCCTCAAATATTTGAGGTCTTGTGTTGCAGGTAATTCTCCAATGCAAACTATTTGCTCTAAATCTTACTTTCAAATTTTTATTGACATTTTTCTTACTCTACTTAAGTACTACTATACTTAAGTACATAAAAAACAGTTTTTGTTTAGTCTAATAAAATCTTAAAGAGAAGTTTTTTAAAAATCAAATAATTTATCTGTTGGTATGATCTAGTATGTTTTCATTGAGTTCTGCTCTATTTCTTCTTACTCACGATAAAGTGGAGGGTAAGCTGGGGAAATCTGAGCAGTTAGACCTTTATTATTTCACGTGGGAAGGGGGCAATTATAAATATTTCTCAAACGCATGACCTTATATTTTGTCAGCAAGAACTCCCAGTTATGTGTCAGGAATATATGATAGGCCCCTTTACCTTCATTCTTAGTTATTTAGACCAGTGCTTCTAAAAGTATCATCTGTGGACTTTATTGCAGGTCTGTGAAGGGATAAGTAAAGAAATTGAAGGTAAGAAGGAAGAAATTTTTGTAGCAGTTTGATAGTCACAACATCCAAATATAAGATCATTTTTCTAGTAATTCATTTTTATTTTATCTTAGAAAATGTTGATCTGTAACAGATTTGAAATAAAGAAAAATAGGATCCTTCAGAGACAGAGAAGCACTGTTTTAGACATTTGATCAAACGCTTTGAATTAGTATTGTCTTGTCTGCTTCTTTTACCGTTTGAGTGAAGATATAATTCCTTTTATTTCTCCTTAAATCATTTTTATTCTCTTTTAAAAGTGTGCCCCCAGGAGTTCATGCTGCTTACAATCTTTTAGATTTTGACTATGTCTATTGTCTGCTTTTACCTTTTCAAGCTGAAGAATAACAGTCTTTTTAGACTTTCTTATTCTGGCAGTCCTCTCATTTCTCCTGTAATTTTAGTTAACTTATTAGTTTGAAGACATGTCACGTATGTCTGATGTGTACTTACATCAGTTTTTATGAGGATAAGCTTAGTATTTTTTGTTTTGGGGCGTGTGTGTATGTGTATTTTCTTTCTTTCTAGATTATGCCTGACACTCTCCCTTTTTAAAGGTTTTACCTAACATTGTTTAAGCTATAGCAGTTATACTTGAAGAATTTTTTCAGTAATGGTCTAATGGGACATCCAGATCCTTTTGTTTAGATTCTACTTTGAATTCTGAGTATTCCAATGCCACTTTATTACCTATTTGTGCAGTCTCTTAAGAACTCTCCATAATTTCTTTTTTACCTTTTTGGTTATTTTGCTTAATCTATCATATTTTGAAGTATTAAAAAAAAATCTTAGACCATCCCAGAATTAACTTGGCACATAGTGTCTTTCTTTTTCCTTAGAGTTTACTGATTGCTTGGATGAGCCAGTAGAAAGCATTGGTGAGAAGAGAAGGCAGTAAAATGATTATACAATAACAACAAAAGAGCAAACAACCCAACCAGGATAATGTGGTAATATACAAATCCACATATAAGCAGGAGAAAGCATCTCAAAAATGACAAACTGAAGTGCCTTCTCTAGATACACAGCTCTGCTAGGGTAAGCAGCCTGTTCTGATGGTGGAAGTGAGGGCTACTTGAACACCTCAGTTTATAGAAATCCACTTGATAAATCAGAGACTGAAAAAATAGGTTAAAGTAAGAATTTTAGGGTTCATATTTTATCCATATTACCTTGTAGGTACAGTAAATTGTAATTGAATTACTTCCTGAATTTAATGTCAGGAAATTTGGTAGGATTTTAGTTTCAGCTGTTAAGCTGTAGGTTTTTTCCTAGGTGAATTATTATAATGTGTCACTTAAGCAGGTATTTTACTGTTAGATTTCAGTCTTTTTTTCTTTCTTTCTTTTTTTTTTTTTTAATAAATTTACTTACTTATTTATTTTTGGCT